ACAATCATCGATCGTCACTTCTGGAAAAGGAAGTAATATTCGTTAACAACAACCACTGCATCAAGACATGAGCCGCAGACAAGGGGTTACAGATTTCAAACAGTGCACTATAGGATGATGTATAGAAATCAGAGGATTTTGTTACGATTTATTGTGGTTTGATTCTAATTTGTTCTATCCAGTTGTTTTTGCTCGTCTTCCATACTTTCCTCTTTAAGCTGACTTTCACTTGGCTTGCCCTCGCTCTGTTACGAAAAGCTTTTACAAAACCGCCGTGGCGAATATGTTAATTACCCGGCGACAGGTAGTTTCGCCTTCGCGTCGTTTCGCAAAGTCCCGTTCGCTAACGTCTTATGTCGTTCCGCTGAGAAGTGAAACGAACGCTGCTCATGTATATGCTTCGTTCTCTCAGCCATGATACAAAAAAAAGCGATACGCATGTATATACCTTGTTCTCTCAGCCATTGGTCAGGCGAAAGCAGTTAGGAAACTGACCCATCACGTACGAGAAACGACTTCAGAAGTTAGCGAACTGGGGCCGGTTGCTCGAAGCCTGGTTAGCGCTAACCGTTGGTTAAGAGGTATCAAAATGTACAGGTTTCCATGGTATTTAACGCTGGTTAGCACTAACCATGCTTCGAGCAACCCGGGCCTGGTCTAGTTAGCGCTAACCGTTGGTTAAGAGGTATCAAAATGTACAGGTTTCCATGGTATTTAACGCTGGTTAGCACTAACCATGCTTCGAGCAACCGGCCCCAGGGCGTTGGCGAAACGACCGTCAACCCAATTTGCCCCTTTAGGAAAGAGAAGGAAACTGGGTCGAGTTAACTTTCGCAAAGACTTCTGCGACTGTTACTAGGGACAGAGGAAAAAATTTGGCCAAGTCCCCAGGAATGATCCGAGAGACAATTGGTCCCAGTTCCCCTCTTGTTTCTAAGTGGCTAATAAAGGGAGTGGGGAAGGAGGCGGGGGCGGGGATCGGGGAAACTTTTTCCTATGAACCTAATCGTATCAACAATAGTGAAATACTTGTCACCTTGCACCCTCCCCAAAATTGCTTCACCTTCACCGCGATTGTCCGCATTAAGAAAGGAGAGGAGTATACACAAGAAAGAGTTAAATAACTTGGTTGAGGTGCTTTCATGAAAAATATTAGGGTTTTTTTCTTATGCGTCAACGAAAATTTGCCCAATATTAAAGGTCGTTATTTTAAACTGTAAGTGAAGAAGTCACAATGGTACCAGAGACGTGGTCCCACGCCAACCGTTAAGGGTGTTTTAGATGACCTTCACTTGGGCTACACTAATAAGCCTACATTTTTATATAACTGGGGCTATGACAGGAAGGGGTACGAGCTGAATTTCTTTCACATTATTACCTTTGTAGGTGACTTTGGAGCCTGTGTCTGTAGACTTGTCGCAGGGAGGTTTAAACAGACGATATGTAGCAGACACAAACTGTGCATCACCTTAGAAAAACATAAGAAACATGTAGCAAAAAGTTTCAACTCTGACCACCTAGGGCCAAGAACCAAACATTTACCTACATAGCTGTGGGTAAATAAAGAGGTTAAGACCCACGTTTACGGCAAACGGCAAACGCGAATTTGTACCACGTGACCAAGTTTCTCTTTTACTTGTCGTTTACTGTTCATTATTTCAACACATAAATTAGTAGTTTCACACAATTTTTCATCCATAAGAATTGTTTTGAGCTGTTTTTATCTGCTCATTTTCTATTTTGAGAAATTCTCAACTTGAATCTGACGTTTGCCGTATAAGTGATGCTTGAACTCTCTAATATTCATCACCACCAGTGGCTAGCTCAACAAGCCTTTCCCGTATCATGCTCCAGTGAGCACACTCACTAAACGAGATTAACAATTGGGTGAACAATTTCATAACTGTATTGTATCAAAACAAGCCTCGAGTTGAATTATGGAACAAAGAATTAACTCTGGAAGGAAAATTCAAGTGCTACCTAGTAAACCGATAAACGGCAATTATTGTAGCCCTACATGTAATAAAGGGAATCAGGGCCTGGTTGCTCAAAAGATGGTTAAGTTTAACCCAGGATTAAGCCAAATTTTAAGCAAGGTTTTCTTGTCTAAGAACATGTAACTCGAGCTTGCAAAATACTATAGTGCCTTTACTCCGAAAAAAAAAGAGATGATAACACAAAATGTTACTCTAAGCAATGCATAGGAAGGTAGATGCAAAAAGTGAAACAAAATTTTAATCCCGGATTAGCGCTAATCAGCCTTTCAGGAACCAGGCCCAGGGGAACAAAAATTAATGAGACAAACAAAAAATCTTATGACTTTGGTTGGTTTCAAACCCACTACCCTTAACTTACTCCTTTCTGGGGTATGTTTACCCTTAATGTGCTTAACCAGGATATTATACAAATAATAGTTAGTGTCTTGAGAAGGGTATCTTTCTTCACGACCAGATTCCTTGAACAGGGTGTGGTGTGGACCTCTAGGATAGTACTAAAACTAATTCAGTATTTGTTCCCTTTGAACCTACACGTACCTAACGGCTTCCTCAGTTTTGGGTCAACATCAAGTGGCCTGGATATAACTAAGTAAGGCCCACTGAAGCCCACTTCTTTACACAGCTCAATCAGCTCCTTCCAGTGCAAGGCTCCTGAAATGCACTCACCTGAACGACAAAAACAATATTGCACCTTGTTTATTTATCGATAATCACAACTAGTGGTTAATACAATTTACAAAAACTCATTTAGAAATAGCTTTGATTGCAAAACCAGAAAATTCAATTACGTTACAATTAAACAAAACAAGGATGAAACCCTTACCCCAAAGTACCTCATCTTTTCTGGCTTCCTCAGAGAGATTTGTATCTGTGTAAACATCACTAAAATATACTTCACCTCCATCCTAAAGGGAATCACAAAAGAATGCTTATACAAAGGACAAAAAAATAAACAACAATGAAAACAAAACTCACAGCACCTGAAATCTAAAAAATCCATTGTCTGAGAAAAGATTTGAACTCTTAACTATCCACTTTCATAATTTTGGCAATAAAACAGAAGAGACACTTCAAATTGCCAAAATTTGCCATTATTTTTCGCTTAAATGGACAACAATACACGACAATAAATCAAGGGTCGAGAAGCAAATTTCCACTGAAGATGAGAATATTGCACGTATTGGTGATTACTAGTAATTTTCAGTATCAACAACAATGTTCTGAAAAATAATCAGTCACCTTGAAAGTAACTGTTGGTGTAAGTAATAGGGACATTTAACTCACATAACCATCTTTCAATGAAATCATCAGGCCAAAAAGATGATTCTTACCTTGAGAACTCTGTAGGCTTGTTTAAGGACAACTGCTTTGTCTGCTGTTAAGTTGACAACACAGTTTGAACTGTTAAATAAAATCAAAAATGAAAAGGGAGATGTTATTGTTGGTTTTCAAACTGATCTTCTTCCAAGATTTGTAATCAATCCACCACTGGATCCACACTACCAAAATAATAGCACGGGACTAAAAAAAACACTATAATTTTATTTATACTATGTAATAAAATGAGGCAAGATTCATATGGGCACATGAGAGAGAAAAAAAGAGATTCATGTGATTCCTTTGTAGGAGAAAATAATTTACCAAAAATATTATTGGCAAAATACATTGTTTTATTCGCAGAATGTACAAAAGATAAAACTAAAAGTCATTTTTTTCTGTCTCCCGCACTGGACAATCAAATTCTAATTAAAAGACAAGGATGTTAACAACAGTGCTGTAAAGTGCACTGTAAATCTTTGAAGCATTTACTCAGATGACTGCTAAAAGTACTGATTTTACTTTATAATACCCAAAAGTTAACACAATTTTTTCAAATTCATTTAACACATATTATTTTATTATCAGTCAGAGCAAGCTGTAGTTATGGTGGAAGCCTTCTGCAAGGACAATCACAAAAACAAAAGAGACATACCAACAGCGACATGACTTACTAAACAATACATGAAATGACTGGTTTTAAAATTCAGACAAGGGACATACATGCCCCCCTCAGCCCCCTCCCCCACCCCAAGAGGGGCTTGACGCTTGACTGTATGCTCAGATGATTGTGAAAGAAAGACAGACTTCAGCAAAAAGCAAAATTTGTTTTAAAAAGCATTAACCATTACATCTTTCTTTGTCACAAACAACCAGTTATACACTGTACTGTAGCTCTCAGTTTGATCAAAATACAATGTAAAACAAACTTACATGATAATATCAATAGAATTCTCTTGTATGCCTAAATCAGACAGACGTTCCATTTCCCCAAGTTTGAAGTCAGTGTTAGGCTTCGAATATCCAAACTGTTCTGCATGGTATTCTACATACTTGTTAGCAACATCCACCTAAACAAGTATTAATAAATTATGAAAAATGAACATTAATGGTACCATCTAGGGTGATTAATGCGGGTTGATTCAGGTCACAAAATGTGTTCAAGACAAAGGAAATTCCACAAGGGGTGGGGGAATGGGTCAAAGTTATAGGGAATTACACAAGGGGAGTGGGTAAATACATAGGAAAATAGGTTTATTAGCAAATTGCTACGTCAAAATGCTCTTTACAATAGTGTTCATCTTAACTTCACCTGTGCCCACACAGGTGTATGTTTTCTCAGAAATTCTCGTCAGAGAGCATGGCACAATACAAGACTATAGTTTCATCAACACCATAACAAAAGAAATAATGAAGCCATACAACTCACAATTAAATGAGAATGTCAGTGAATTAATTAATGTTCCCAGCAATCCCTTAGGTCTCATTGCTTACATGTATGGTATACTTTCTTAGGCAACAACATTAATTTTTGCAAAGGTGTGGAAGTTAAAGGGCAGCAGCAAAAGCAGATATGTACATTGTACAGCTGCAGGTTAAAAAGGTGACTGATCATATTTTTCTACCTGAACAGTCCTTGTATGATATATAGGTATAAATAATATTTCTAATGTTATTGAGCTCCTCATTGGTGATGATTTTACAGTGCTTCTAGAGAAAAACTCAACGACAGATTTTTCTGTACGTTTCCAACCACCACATTTTTTTAAACCACTGGGGGACACAAATTTTGTACCCACAGTGGTACATCAAAATGTTTTCACCAAACAACAAGTTCCATAGATTTGGATGAAACATTTACCCATAACTACGAATATATTTTGACACATTTGAAAAATCACAATTGACCTGAATCTTGGCGAGACTGTTTGCATATTTACAGGTGTACAAATGTCTGTTCTTTAAGGTACTAGACTTATTTGTTTGTTGTTGTTGTTATTGTTGTTTTGGGGGGGAGGGTAGAGAAGAAGTTAAAATTAATAATAAAGAAGTTCTAAAAGAGTCCAGTTCTCATCTCTCAACTTCACATATTTTCCTATAATTCTTTGTAAGGTTGCAAAACTACCCTGAAGAGTGCACACACATGTAGATGTATGTACGTAAACTGTAATTATTATATACTAATCAATTTTCACAGACCTGTTCCTTTGTCATATCGACACCAGTCACATGACCATTTTCACCAACAAGTTTACTAAGAACAAAGCAGTCTTGTCCCGATCCACTTCCAAGGTCCAGGATTTTCATGCCCTCAAGAGATTCTGGGGCTACCAAACCACATCCATAAAACCTGAAATTTAACCCATATTATAAGTTGATTTAACCTGGACAAAACATAATCTACCAGAAATTGTATCAAAGCTCATCCTATCTCATTAAATTATTGGCTACTTACAGTATGTCATTGTCTGGACAACACTACTGAAAAGGGGGGAAATGTTAGAGTGGGATGCTCCGCCTCCAGGTCCAAACCCCTTTTCCTTCCACACTTTTGCAAAAATTAATGCTGCCTAAAATGTGTGCAATTCCACAATTGGTTTGGGCTCCATTAAATCCTAGACCAATTGTAGAACATTTTAGGAGGAGCCACCCACAATAAGAGTAAAGTTACTTACAAGGTGTATGAGTAGGAAAACAACCTAAAGCAAATGTAATGCCCTAAATAACTAACTAAATGCACATGTCAGTTAAATAAGTAAATAAAGTGCACACATATTAACATTGTGCTTGAACACACAACTAGCCTTAGAAAACAGCCGTTATTTCGCAATGTGACCACTGGTTTCTCTGCGAAATGACATAAGAGAAACGAGCACAGAAATTCCATACTGACAACGTCTCACTAACCAGATCTGGGTAGTGCTTCTGATTGGTTGAAGCAAATTTCTCACATGGCACAACTCATCAGAAGCACTACCCAGATCTCAGTAGTAACACGTCATCAGTCTGGAATTTCTGCAATCATTTCTCAGACATCATATTATAGGGAAACCAGTGGTGATGTAGCAAAATGTTGGTTGTTTTCTGAGGCAAACACACAACGAAAAATGATTGAAGTGGCACCATTCAGCCATTGAATGCCAGTCTCATCTCCTGCAGTGTAGTTTCATACTTACTAACAATAACCCCTAAGCACCTGAAGAATTTGTTAAAGGATTTGAAGCCTTGCTGATTCAGATGTGAAGAAAGTTTCAAAGTCTATCAACAAAGTCCACTTTTGACAAGCAGAAAATTGACAAATTGGAATGTAAAGTCATGTCTCTTTCATGCAGCCGGCCTATTGAACGTTCGGTAATCGAACCCAATCAAACTGCAATCGTTCAATTGCCTTTGATTGGGTTCAGTAATCTAACTTAATTGAACTTGCCCAAAAATTTTACCAATCGAACACAATCGAACACTTAAAAAAACTCTAGAAACCTAGAAACTCCATTTCCGAGACTCTAAATTTCAAAATGTCCCCAGATGCCTCGGCCCTCAAGAACTTGTGCCTTTGGTGCGAGTTCCAAAACTGCCTACTATTCATTATCAGCCTGCTCCGCTAGTACTATATAATTATTTATACGCTACTTAAGAACTTTTTGACAGCCCTGTGCATGTGTTTATATTGTTACTGGCCTTAATTAGTTAATCTGCTAGATATATCCCTTCTTGCCTGATGATTCTTTTATCGTGGGTAAATAAAGTTGTTATGGTTATTGCTGTTGATCGGTTTTTTCCGTCAGCTTGTCGTACCATCATGTACGAAAAGATTCAAGATTGCGCGCACCTTCAGCTACAGATTTATCTCGCTAATCGCTCTAGTCTTCATCGAGTAAGAAAGAGCAACAAAATAAAAATCTACAAAATAAACTCTTACTTGCTGGATACCTCCTCGTGTATAAGTTTCAGAGCACTCCTTACGGCAGGAGGCATTTTCTTTCCCTCAAATTTACATGCGCTCGTCTTTAGATCATCATTCGTCTTAAGCGTTTTGCCATAGTAATCCTTTACACTTTCCTTAACTTGATCTGCGTTTTCGGAACTCATTTCGGGGTGAATATGCCTTGAATAACCAACGCAAACTTCGCTCAAACGATATTGTCTAATGTTCGTCTGACTCAGCAGGAACGATCACTGATGCGAGTCTGCGAGTTAGGGCACAATATTGAAGCGAGGATGAAGTTCACGTTCGCTTCGCGATCGAATTTCGCGACGTTACATAATCTTGTCAGCGGCTGCATTTATTGTAAATCATCTGTGCATATAATTCTGCGGTAGATATCCCACCACAACTTTAATAGCTAATGGTCTATAGAGTGTTTTCACTCACGTGACTTGGTTTCCTAGCAACCCTACTATCCGCCATGTTGGTGTCCCAAGAAAGAAAGCGTGAGCTGGTCACTTATTGTATTTACAGCTGTATTTATCGATTTAAACTGTGAAAGATCAATCTTATATGGGTTTCTCTTACCATGGTTCTGTGTATTATTGTTGGCTGTGGCAACAAGAGTGGAAAAAGTTCACAAAAAAAGGATTCTGCAGTGAAATTTAGTCGCCTTCCGAAAATCGTCAGAAGGCGAAATGATG